CCTTCCTCCCCCTCCCCTTCGCTCGGCCCCGGGATCCGTTACTGTGAAGCGCTCTGTGATGCCGTCCGGTGTGGAGGGCGCTATATAAATCCAAGTTGTTGTTGTTAATTCCTGGTCAAAGCAAAACCTTAGGCAAGTTTCTTTACTCCACACGTTAGTTACCTAGCAGTAAGTAGGAACCCGGTTGTTAGTTGATTGGCAGACCCTAATATTCTCTGAGAGAAAAATGTGGATACTCAATCGAGGACTGTTTGTGGGACAATGTTGTGCGTAATTGGCTGCCACATTTCACCCATAAAATAAACAGCCTAGTCACTTTAAGGTATTTTCTATGAACAACGTTCTGAGGCTTTATATCAAATGCAAGGATTATTATTATCATCATAAAAGTAAAATATAGAAACAATGCCATTCCTTTCTGTAGATAAGGATCCTCGGCTATTCCTCAACATCCCTTCATTGGGATTCCCACCCTTTCTCTCTCTATAGATTATAGAAAAACATTACCTCTGACCAACTGTCCCTCCCAGCTGTGCTCTTGGTTGGGCATTGAGCTCAAAGTCCCCGCACGTGAGATTCAAATCATATTCATTTGCAGCTCATGATGTTTTTGGCAGGTGAAGCAATCTGGAGTTCACCTAATCCGACCTATCTTGTGACCATAGCAACAGGCCCTTCACAAATGACTGTCCTAGACCCACCCTGTCCCACCCACTTGCTTAGTAACAGACTTGATTCCACTAGTCCCATATCGAGCTCAGCGGGCTCCGGTCAGCTCCGAGACCAGCCGCCAGCCCACCATTGGCATTTGGACCTTTAGCCTCTCTCCCCCACCTGTCGGAACTCCATCCCACAGTCCCTTCACTTCGCTTCCTCTCTCGCCTCCTTCGTGGCCTATCTCAAGACCCTCCTCTTCGACCGAGCCTTGGTTCACCTCCTCCCCCTAACCTCCCTGCCCTCCACCCCTCCTCATCCCAACCCCCAGCTCGGGTCCAAATCCCTGACTGTCCAGCGCCTTGGATCATCCTCCTGACGTAAAAGGTACCGTACAAATGTAATTTGTTGTTGTCGTGACTGAGCGTCAGGCTGGGAGAATCGGATTGATTGAGAGTGAGACTATCAGGCTGAAAGTGGGTGTGACGGGGTCAGACCGGGCAGGGTGGGGCTAATCTCAGTCCTTGTTAACACATCAACGCGGTGTCACAATATCTGAATGACATTCCTCTCTGTGGACTCCACCCTGGTTTCAGTTTAGCAATGATACAAGAATGAGCTGCCGGTTGGGTGTCCCTCGCAGAAAGCACTGGGGAGGAATGCCGTTCGCCTGGCCTGCAAACTATTTATAGAACAGGTGCCGATGGTAACAGGCGATTATTCAGGTCTGAAGTGAAATGAGAGAAACTGGGGCTTTTTTCTTCACCGGAGCTGAGAAGGAAAACGATCTGATCAAGGTCTGCCAGATTAGCAAAGATTACCACAGGGCAAACAGTGATCGATTATTTTACTGCTCAAAAGGTCCACTGGGAGAAGCCCCATTTTAAGACAGGCAATAAAATAACTAAAGGGGAGGTTTCCTTTTGAATTTGCCATGTGCTTGGATTTTGTTTTGCTCAGCCGGATGTCTGACACATGCAGAAACCCATCACCGTGCTGAAGAGTATCCAAACCACACTGAGAATGCCATGTCTCCCACCTACACATGGAAATCCCAGAGACAGATTCTTGTAATGGAATACGCTCTCTCTCCCTGGAGGGACACATCCTGTTTACCTAATTCCAAAGAGTACCTCTCCAACCTACTATCCCTCTACCTACCTGCCCGTACCCTCCGTTCCTCTGGCTCCGGTCTGCTCCACATCCCCCGCCCCAACCGCCCTACCATCGGTGGCCGGGCCTTCAGCCTCTCGGCTCTGGAACTCTATCCCCCAGTGCCTTCGCCACCTCCTCCCTTTCCTCCTTCAAGGCCGGTCTCAAGACCTTTCTCTTTGACCGTGCCTTCAGCTCCCCTCTCGACTCTCTACCCCTTCCTCGCTCCCTCCCTTCACTCCCCTCCCCCTGACCATTTCCCCCCAATGCTCGGGTCCTGACCCAACTGTACAGCGCCTTGGGACGTCCTCCTGACGTGAAAGGCGCTCTATAAATGGAATCTTGTTGTTGTTGTTGTTGTTATTGGGTGCAGGTTGGCAAGAGCCAAGGCTTGGAGACCCCAGAGTGTGCGTTGGGGTAACTGCTGGAGTCTGACCAGCTAAAACCGCATAGCTTGCCATTGATATCACTGTCTGGCAAACTTTCCCGCTGCTTGTCCAGCCAGGACCACCCTACCGGTTAGGGCTTTGGCTTGCAGGGTTAAGGGGAGCTGAGTGGGAAGACTCCCTGAGCCAGGGACTGGTCTGCTCTTCCAGGTCCTGCCAGACGTGCTGTGCTGTCATCAGCAGTGCCTTGGAGCAAATGAGACCCACCTGGCTCAGGAACCGGACTATCGAGACCACCACAAAGGGCTCGATTCCAACATTCCACTGCCAAAGATGTCACCTTGGAGCCAGTTCAGCTCCAAGGAGATAGACATTAATTGGTCTTTTGACATCCAACAAATGTGGGTTTGAGCCCTCACTAGGTGGATGGTACACACCAGGAACTCCCTGAGAGCCTCCCGGTGGGCAACACAGCTCAGTGTGAAATGCATGAGAGCATTGCCTCCACCTTCCTGCCTACGCTCGGGCACACATCCGCTCCCATTGAGCGATGGTTCCACCAGTCGGAAGTGCAGCTTTGAGCAGTACCTCTCGCCTCTCTCAAACCAATCAAGGTGGATTCCAAATGCTGGACGGTTCACAAACTCGGAGTCCTGGTAGCACCTTCCAGCAGCTGTTGCCCCAAGCCTATGAGTTTCCTTTTTTTGGGAGGTCAGCCGAGTGTCTGACACGTGCGGAAACCCACCATCACGCTTAAGAGTATCCAAACCGAGCTGAGAATTCCACGCCTCCCACCTACACATGGAAATCCCAGAGATAGACTGTTGGAATGGACAGCGCTCTCTCTCTCTCTCACTCCCTGAAGGGATGCATCCTGCTTACCTAATTCTGGAAAGTCTTAGGCACAGATTGACAAGAGCCGAGGCTTGGGGACCCCAGAGAGAAAGCTGCTATACGAATGTAATTTGTTGTGTACTCTTGCATACACAAGAGTTGGGGCTCCCTCACTGGGTGACTGTGCAGTCGCTGAGTACGCAGAGTGAGACTTGCTCGCTGTGTGCCCAGGGAGCAGGAGGAGCTGGGGAACAGGAAGTGAGTTGAGAGATCTGGAATTCCGAGCAGGGAATGACAGGACCGGGCAGAGATCTGGGTGTGGTCGCTCCAGCCTCACAGAGGACTTTCATTCAGCTCAGACACTTAACACGCCCTCATGATAAACTGGCTTTAAAATGCTCATTAATGACTACGCCTCTTTGTTTGGAAGGTAAGCAGGGTCTCCTCAGGGCTAAAGCAACTCCAAGGTAACACGCTCGACAACTGAAGATCAGAATTGAGCCCACCTTCTGTGGCGGTCTCCAGTCTGGTTTCTGACCCAGGCAGATCCGCAGTACCCCAGGGCACTGCTGATGACATGGGGCATATCCAGCCTGGCTCATTGGCAGGACTCGGAAGGGCAGACCGGTCACCCTGCGGGAAAGCTTGCCAGACAGCGATATCAATGGTTTCAGATGCTTAGACTCCAGTGGTTACTCTAACGCACAACAAGCCTTTGCTCTCGTCAACCTGCGCTGATACTCTCCGGAGTTAGAAAAGCAAGGTGTGCCTCTCTGGGCAGAGAGCGTACTCCATTCCAGAATTTGAGAAATTTCCGTGTGATGGTGGCAAGATACGTGATACTCTGGTTCCGCCTTCCTCCCTCCCTCCATCCCTCCATCAGCCCTACGTTTACTACACTGTGGCGTCCCGTAGGGCAGTGGTTAGCGCACTTGCCTTGCAGGCGAGAGGACCTGGGTTCAATTCACGGGCAGGCAAGTTTCCTTACTCTTCCGTTAAGTAATTAGGAATTTGGTTGTTAGTCGATTGGCGGATTGCTTTCCAGGGTTAACAACCCTTCTCCCCCGCGCCCCCCCCCACCACAAAAAAAATGTGGCCGCTCAATCCACGACTGTTTGCGGGGCACTGTGGTGAGCAATTGACGGCGGCGTTTCGCCCACAGTAATCCACTTCCCGATCAATTCTGCGAAGGGGCCTTGGGACGTGTGAACGACGTGATAAGGGCTCTATCTATCTCAAATGCGAGGATTATTATTCCCGTCACTACTCCACGTCTACCTTCCGCTTCGACCGTGCTTACGACCGCCGCCCCCACCCCTCCCCCCTCCCCCCCCGGCTCGGAGTCGGGCTCCGCCACCGTTAAGCACTCCGAGACCCTACCCTGCGTGGCGGGCGCGCTGCAAGTGCGAGTTGTTGTTGTTGTTGTGAGGTGGCGGAACTGCAATCTCGGTTCCGATTGCCGGAGACGGTGTGAAGAGTGGGGGCCACGTTCCCCCGCGGCTCTGCGGAGTGGCGGACACCCGCGCGCGGTCAGCTCCCAGTCTGGAAGGCTGTCTCCTGGTCGAGGGTTTCTTTCCCCATTTTTGTTGGGGGGGGAACGACGTGTTACATTTGCAGAAATGGGGCGTAAAAAATGAGGGGGAACAGAGACTAGAATTTTCTGCAAAATCCCCATCTCTGAGAGTCAAACTCTCCGACTCTGCGCTCTCTCTCTCTCTCTCTCTCTCTGTATCTCTCTGACTGTTTGATGGAATCTTTTTGCTGTGGGTGGGGGGGGGGGGGTAGTCCTGCCTTCCGGGGTGCTGTGTCCTGTCACCCACACCCTCCTGGGAGTGGCCACACCAACCCCTCCCCTCCGGATGTGGATCGCAAGGATCGTCCCGGTGTTGGAGCGCTGACTCCCCGATCCCGGTGTGTGTGGGGGTGGGGGTGGGGTATGTGTGTGTGGGGGGGGGGTGTGGGGGGTGTGTGTGGGTGGGGGGGTGTGGGTGGGGGAGAGGGGTTAGGAGTATAACCTGAGATGAGGGCAGAGCCGTAACAAGGTGTTGGTTTCGCTGCTTTCACTGAGAACTGGGCGGCGGCTCAGGTGTGTTACCTGTGTGTGTGTGTGTGTGTGTGAGAGAGACTTACCTGTGTGTGTGTGTGTGTGTGTGTGAGAGAGAGACTTACCTGTGTGTGTGTGTGAGAGAGACTTACCTGTGTGTGTGAGAGAGAGAGTTACCTGTGTGTGTGTGTGTGTGTGTGTGAGAGTTACCTGTGTGTGTGTGAGAGACTTACCTGTGTGTGTGTGTGTGAGAGAGACTTACCTGTGTGTGTGAGAGAGAGAGTTAGTGTGTGTGTGTGTGTGTGAGAGAGAGTTACCTGTGTGTGTGTGTGAGAGAGAGAGTTACCTGTGTGTGTGTGAGAGACTTACCTGTGTGTGTGTGAGAGAGAGACTTACCTGTGTGTGTGTGTGAGAGAGAGAGAGAGTTACCTGTGTGTGTGTGTGTGTGTGTTTGAGAGAGAGTTACCTGTGTGTGTGTGTGTGAGAGAGAGAGACTTACCTGTGTGTGTGTGTGAGAGAGAGAGAGACTTACCTGTGTGTGTGTGTGAGAGAGAGTTACCTGTGTGTGTGTGAGAGACTTACCTGTGTGTGTGTGTGTGAGAGACTTACCTGTGTGTGTGTGTGTGAGAGAGAGACTTACCTGTATGTGTGTGTGAGAGAGAGAGAGACTTACCTGTGTGTGTGTGTGAGAGAGAGTTACCTGTGTGTGTGTGAGAGACTTACCTGTGTGTGTGTGTGTGAGAGAGAGACTTACCTGTATGTGTGTGTGAGAGAGAGAGAGACTTACCTGTGTGTGTGTGTGTGTGTGTGAACCATTTGTGTGTTTCAGGACCTTGGAATGTCCTCTGAACGTGAAGGCCGCTAAACAAATACAATTTGTTGTCATTGTGTGTAAGTTACTTGTGAGAGTGTGAAGTTGAATTAACTCAACAGTGCTGTCCCCAGGTGCGCGTGTGGGTGTGCATTGTATCTGTGCGAGTGTGGTGTTGACTAACACGGGTGCGATGTGCCCAGATGTGGGCACAGCACTCCGGGACGCTACCCTGCGCGAAGGGTGCTCTGAAAATGCAAGTTGTTGTGTGTATATTTGTGTGTGTGTGTTTGTCAGTGTTTCTGTGTGTGTGTGTGTGTGCACGTGCGTTAGTCAGTTACATAGGAACAGGAGGAGGCCATTCAGCCCTTCGAGCCTGTTCCGCCATTTAATTAGATCGTGGCCGATCTGTACCTCAACTAATACTTTCAATTCCAATTTCCCGTTTTCTCCCCATATCCCTTAAATCGCTGACCTACCAACAATCTATCAACAGTTGTGTGTGTGTGTTTGCCAGTGTGTGTGTGCATTTTACCTGCGGGAATGTGGCATTGACTAACCCAGGTGTGCTGTGCCCAGGTGTGCTGTGCCCAGGTGTGGTGTGGACGGAGTGGTTGGCCACGCGGCTATGGCTCGGCGCTCGCAGTGCTCCTCCCTGGGGGAGATGCTGAACGACCCCAATTATGTGCCCCCGCACTACAAGGAGTATTACCGGCTGGCCATCGACGTGCTGGCCGAGCAGGGCATAGACTCTTACTACCACTTTCTGGCCGATGAGCGGCAGGTGGAGTTCCTCAGCACCAGTGAGATCGAGCACATCAATAAACACCTGCGTAAGCCCGCAAGGGCCCTGGACGAGGAGCCACACAGCCAGAGCGATTACAACGAGTCGGACTCATCGGGCACCTACTGGCCGGTCCACACAGACATCGACGCCCCCGCCCTGGACCTGGGCTGGCCTGACATCGGCAGGTACAGGGAGCCCTCCGACGTCACCATCTTCGTGCACCCACCGGCTCCGGACACACTGAGCATCAAAGAGGAGGCACGCAGGCTGATCCGTTCCGCTAATCAGGTACACGGGGCAGAGGATGCCGGTCACAGGGCACGGAACCTGGTCCAACCAGGGGCTCCTTTGGGTTCTGGGGTCAATGTCCCTACTTAAGAGCATCCAAACCGAGCTGAGAATTTCATGCCTCCCACCTACACATGGAAATCCCAGAGATAGATTGTTGGAATGGAATGCGCTCTCTCTCTCTCCCTGGAGAGACACATCCTGTTTACCTAATTCCAGAAAGTATTAGGCGCAGGTTGGCAAGAACCAAGGCTTGGGGGACCCCAGAGTGTTGCTTTGGGGTAACCGCTGGAGTCTAACCAGCTAAAACTGTGTAGCTTGCCAGTCTGTCAGCACTTTGAGCTCAGTCCAGGTTGACACTCCAGTGCAGTGCTGGGGGAGTGTTCCAGTGTCGGAGGTGCCGTCCTTTGGGTGAGATGTTAAACCGAGGTCCTGTCTGTGTCCTGTTGGGGCGGGTGTCAAAGATCCACAACATTGCTGGAAAAGAGGAAAGAGTTTCTCCTGGTGTTCCAGTGACGATCTCCAGGTTAACCCCCCCACTCTAGGCTCCGTGTAGGTGTTGCGTGCAGTGTTTTCCCATGAACGCACACCAGACCTATTTATAATCCTTGCATTTGATACAACGCCCAAAACTCTGGAACTCCCTCCCTCAATCCCTTCGCCTCGCCCCTCTTTCCCCCTTTTCAGGTTGCACCTGAAGACCTTCCTCTTTGACCGTGCCTACGGTCACCTTCCCCCGCCCCCTGGCTCGCGCCAGTGTTAAGCGCTCTGGGACGCCCTGTCGTGGAGAACGCTATATAAATGTAAGTCGTTGTTGAGATATTATTTCCTGAAGAAATCTTATCTAATTTGTTCCTTGAAAGATTCAACACTTTCTGCTTGGACTGGAACCCTGGGCAGCCTGTTCCATGCATTTACTGCTCGCTCAGTGAAGTAGTATTTCCGCAGATTTGTTCTGTATTTAATCGCAGGCCGTGTCCTCTGGTTCTACTGTTCCACCGGAAGTGGAACCTTTAACCCAAACCAACATCAAGATAAAACAGCGTAACATGGTCTGCATTATGTAGTCAATAAGATTCTGGGCTGAAACTTGTGAAGTCAAGGATACAATACAATACAAAATGAGATTTGTACAGCGCCTTTCACATCGGGAGGACGTCCCAAGGCACTGGACAGTCAGGGGTTTGGACCCAAGTGGGTGGGGGGTTGGACCGTGGAGTGGGGGATTGGGTTAAGGGAGGATGGAGGAAAGGAGGGTGGCCAAAGGCACGATCAAAGGGGAGGGTCTTGAGACGTTCCTGGAAGGAGGCAAGGCAGGGAATGAAGAAGGGAATGTGGGATGGAATCATTGTAGTGATTTGTGCAGGGGAAGTGGCTGCGGGGAGGGAGGGCTCCAGCTTACAATGGACCTTGCTGTCCTTGAAGAGATGATAATGACCAAATGCCTTTTGGCTGCAAGGCAGTGTCCTACCTCTTGCAGTGCACCCTGGAGGTTGGAGTCAGCTTCACAGAAGGCATCTGTTGTTGCTGCTGTTGTATGTTGTTTACCTGTTGTCTGCCCCACAGGTCGTGGCCATTGTAATGGACATGTTCACTGACATTGACATCTTTGAGGAGCTGGTGCAGGTGGCAAATCGAGGTGTGCCCGTCTACGTGCTCCTGGATGAGCTGCACGCTCACCAATTCCAGGACATGGTGAAGAAATGTCAGGTCAATCTCAGTGTGATCCAGGTGAGAATCTCAGTCATACTGGTGTCCTGTAGTGTATTGGTTAGAGCACTCGCCTCGCAAGCGAGAGGACCTGTGTTCGATTCCCGGGCAGGGCGAAACATTAGGCAAGTTTCCTTACTCAACATGCCTCTGTTTACCTAGCAGTAAGTAGGAACCCGGTTGTTAGTCGATTGGTGGATCGCTTTTTCATGGGTTTTAGTCCCTTAAAAAATAATAGTAATAATTTTACGACTCAATCCACGACTGTTTGTGGGTTATTGCTGTGTGCAATTGGATGCCGCGTTTCTATATTCTTTTGAAGCGCTTTTGAGACATCTCGAAGACGTGATAAGGTGCTATATCAAATGCAAGGATTATTATCGTTATTAAAACACAAAATTGTATTTGTATAATGCCTTCCATGTCCCAAGGGACTATCAAATGCACGGATTATCGTTATAACGCCACTCCCTTTCCACCAGTGACTCATTCCCTGTTTGCAGTCTAACCGGTGAGCTGGGTGGCTGTAAGTGTGGATGGACACTGCCTGGTTGTGTAGTGGATGTAGGGATGGCTCAGGTTCTGGGTCTACTCAGCTCATTCATTCTCCTCCCAGGGTTGAGGAGGCTTCAATAACATTCGCCTTACCTAGCATGGATGTGATCGCTCGGGCCCTTATCCTTTCCTATCTCGCCACTATCTTTCTCTCTCTCTCTCTGTGTCTCTCTCTCTCCATGCTCTTTTCCCCTCTCACTGCACGCTCTCTCTCTAACTCTCTCTCCACACTCTTTTCCCCTCTCTATCTCTCTCTCTCTAGCCACACTTTTTCCCCTCTCCCTTTTCTCTCTCTCTCTCTCTCTCAATAACCTCCGCTTCCCTCTCCACACCCTCTTTTTCTCTCTCTCTGGCTCTCCACACCCTCTACATCTCTCTCTCCTCTACACACTCCCTCTCTCTCTCCACATCCTCCTCTCTCTCCCTCTCTCTCTTCACACCATCTCTCTTTTTCTTCACACCATCCCCATTTCTCTCTCTTTTTTTCTCCACACTGTCGCAGGAGAGAGAAACTCCCTTTTCTTTCCCAATAGCGGAATGAAAATGATGGAGTCCTGTTGCATAATGGTTAGAGAACTTAACCTCGCAAGCGAGAGGATCCGGGTTTGATTTGATTCCCAAGCAGGGCGAAACCTTAAGCAAGTTTCCTTACTTTCTGTGTACCTAGCAGTAAGTAGGAACCCGGTTGTTAATTGATTAGCAAATTCCTTTCCGGGAGCAATAATAATAATAATAATAATCCTTGCATTTGATATAGAGCTTTTCACGTCGGGAGGACATCCCAAAGCTCTTCACAGAACACACTGTAATGTGAATTGACTGTATATTTGTGGGCGAACGCGGCAGCCAATTGCGCACAGCAATGTCCCACAAACAGTCGTAGATTGAAAATGACCAATTTATTATTGTTTTTGGTTTTGGAGGGATTATTATTAGGCTCTGTGTGGAGTAAGGAAACTTGCCCAAGGTTTCGCCTTCTGATGGAATTGAACTCAGGTCTCTCGCTTGCAAAGCGAGTGCTCTAACCACTGAGCTACAGGACTCCACTGTGCACAATTGGTTGTGCATTTTGTCCACAAAATATACAGTCCACATTTACAATATATTCTGTGAAGCGTCTTGAGACGTCTCGATGACATGATAAGGCGCTATATCAAATGCGAAGATTATTTTTTACTATTGGAGCACGTGGGGTCTTTAATGTCCAGCTGACCAGAAAGATGGGAGCTGTGTGGAGCTGCTGTTTTGCTCCACATACCTGTGCCCTATGTTTTCCCTTTCCAAATATTTCTCTAATCTTTGAGTAAATTCTCTAGCTGCTCCCTGGCAAGGAGCCGCCCACCAGCCAATCATAAATGTTTCATCTTGCTGACGTCAGCCTTGCTTTACCGCCCAAGAGCTATCTCTGGCCAATTTACTGAATCATTTTCTTAATTAGGAAATCGCACAAACCTGGAGCTCTCTACTCTAATCTCATTCCCTCTCCCCATCGTGTCTGTGCTGGTGCTCGCTCCCCCACTAGAGCTCTCTACTCTAATCCCATTCTTTCATCTCTTTCCCCCTTTTCAATATTTTTTAATGTTGTTCCCTCTTTAAATATTTATGCAATTTCCTTTTGAGTGTTATTCTGGTCTGAATAGCCACTTGTGCTGAACTGTTCCATGTTCTAATAACCTCCAGGTTAGAATGTTTCTTTCCTGCATTGCCGGAAACTCCGTCCTTGGGATGAGATGAGAGATTAAACTGAGGTCTCCTCTGTACCTCTTCATGTGCATGTCAAAGATCCCATGGCACCATTCGAGAAGAGAGTTTCTCTCTCCCAGTATCCTGGCCAACAATCCCCAGATAGAATTGATCATTTCACTCCATGACTGCTTGTGGAACATTGCTGTGCCAAATTGACTGCTGCATTGGCCTACAAATACTGTCACTACACTTTACAGTGGATCCTGTGAAGCACTTTCAGACATTTCGACATCAAACGGTTTTACATTAAATTCAAGAATCCTCATTCTATAATTTATTGTGATGCCCTCCCTCCCCTAGAGCTCTCCCACTGACTCTCCTGAGCTCATAATACCAATAATCCTTACATTTGATATTACGCCTTATCACATCATTGTGATATCTCAAAAGCACTTCAAAGGGTATACTGTAAAGCGGATAGACATTGTGGCCGAAACGTGGCAGCCAGTTATTCACAGTTGTCCTCCACACAAGGTCATGGATTGAGTGACCAACATTTATCCTTCAATCGACGGACAACCAGGTTTCTACTAACTGCTGGATAAACAGAGGCGTGTGGAGTAAGGAAGCTTCCCTACGGTTTTGCCTTACCCAGGAATTGAACCCAGGCCCTCTTGCTTGCCCCCCACCCCCCGAGCCCCACTGAACCCCTCGAGCCTCAGGTGTGTGATCTGTGCTGACGCTGTGTGTTCTGCCTCCAGTTTATGAGGGTGCGGACTGTCCAAGGCCAGACATACTTCTGCAGGTCTGGCATGTCCTTCCACGGCAACTTGATGGAGCGCTTTGTGCTGATCGACTGCCTCGTGGTGCTGTCCGGCTCCTACAGGTACGCACATGTATGCGTGTGTGTGCTTTCGGGTCTCTATCCCATGTTCAGGGTGCTATATAAATACAAGTTGTTGTTGCTTTCCGCTCACTGCCATTTCTCTCCCGGCACACACACACACACACACACACATTTTCGTATTTTTCCTTTTCAAATATTTCTCACTCTATCTACCTTTCTCTCCCTCTCTCCCTCACACTCTCTGTGTCTGGGTCTTGTGCCCGGCTTGGCCACAATCACCTCCGAGACCAAAGGTTGTGAGTCCTTCTCTGCTCATTCCTCTACTGCTGCCCTCTCTCTCTCTCTCTCTCTAGGTCTCCAGACTAAATATAAGTTGTGAAACTCTTCAAGACAACTCTGGGGTGAAAGTATTGTGTGTGTGTGTATATTTGTCTGTCTGTCTCTGTCTATCTGTCTGCCTGACTGCCAGAGATGTCTAATTAAGCACTCTGGGATGATACCCTGCTTAAGGGCCGTTATATAAATGGAAGTTGCTGTTGTCTCAACGACGTGATAAGGCGCTTTATTAGAAGCGTGGATTATAATGGACAGCTCTCTGATGTCTGATTGAGGTCCCTCCTCCTCTTCTCCGCAGTTTCATGTGGTCCTTCGAGAAGATCCACCGCAGTATGGTGCACCGCTTCCAGGGCGAGCTGGTGAACATCTTTGATGAAGAATTCCGTATCCTCTTCGCCCAGTCCAGCCCCCTGCCCGGAGTGGAGAGCATAATGCCAAAGATGGAGAGCTACTATGCGGTCCAACCTTACGAGCCCCGTTACAGGAAGCGCCCCACCCTGAGCTTCCTCCACCACCAGGAAGACCAGCATTCCCAAAACTCGGGTTTCTCCTGGGGGGAGGTGGACCCGGACAGACCCCTCCGCTCCTTCCGAAGGGATGAGGCATTCAGGCAGACCATGGAGGGGGTCACCAACCAGGGCTACACCAGGGCCCAGTTCGCCCAGCGCTTCGAGCAGCAGAAATTCCAGTTCGACCCCACGTCACGTGCTATCCTGAGGTCCAAGAAGATGGAGATGGACTCCTACAAGAGACAGAGCTATGCCGAGGGCACGTACGAGAGCTACTCAACTGCCAGAGAGCTGCAGTTGTCCCGACGGGGCGAGCTCTTTGACGAAATGGACTCCAGGTCCGAGCGATTGGAGGGAGACAGGATGCTGCCCCTGGAGAGGAACTGGGCCAGAGATGGACTCCTGTCCCTGGAGAAGAAACCTTTTGGACAGGATCTATTTGACCGAATAAGATCCAACCATCAAGGACTACGCCAGCATGAGGACATTACCGATCCTTACCTGGAGGACTTTGAGATGCGCTCCAGGCTGAGGCAGGGGTCGGGTGACCGTAGGCTGATGGATGATGACCAGTTTGCTGTGGACGTACCCAAGAGGCCTAGCATCGGGCAGACCTATGCCTGCCTGAAATCGCCTACCCAGACATCAGTCCTCGATCAGAAACTGATTTTCCAGGAGTCGGTATTGAAGAAGGGGGATGATCACCAAACCAAGCAAGGTCTCAGGAGTTGGAGGATAGGTTCCTACCTCAGTGCCTACCAGGATGAAAGTCAGGAGGGGATGGAGGAAGGAAGTCACTTCTCCTCTGTATTCCAGGGCTTCGAGGATGAGGCGCCCCCCAACCCGGGCAAGATGAGACCTTCCTTTGAAAGGGACTTCATCTACCAATCCAGCAGTTACCTTCAGAACATGAGGGCCTGGAAAACCACCCGCACTGCTGATCAGTCAGGCTCACCTGAGCAAGGGGCTGAGGAGCAGGAGACAACGCTGATGAAACAAGAGTCCATGAGGAGCAAGATCAACCCGCTGCTGCAGAGAGGCTCCCGGCTCCGCTCCTCTCTCATCTTCAACTCCTCCAAAATTGAGCAGCACAGCCCGAGAGGCAAGAGCGGCTTCTCCAGCGTCCAGGAGCAGATCCAAGGCCAGGAGACGCAAGAGAAATCCGAGACGTCCGGTCCAAAGCCGGTTGACGGAGGAGTCAAGGCCATCAAGCCCCAGACTGGAGAGGTGTCTGCAGGGAAAATCCCGAGCAACAGGACGCAGAACAATAAGCCCTCAGAAACCCACCAGGCCTCTAACCTAGTCATCAGCAGCTTAGAGAAAGTGAGGAACAAAGAGCAGCTGCAGCTCAGCAAGAAGGTTCTAGACGCCATTCAGAAATTAGACCAGGAAAAGCCAGCGGTAAAGGAAGTGAAGAAGGCTGAATTGGGCCCGACCCAAAAGAATGGCACTATCGCTCCAGAAAAGCCATCTCAGGACCACAGATTTCCAACTGAAACCAAGCCCGAAACCAAGCAGTCCTCTGCCCAGGAACCAGTTTCCAAGCCGAATCTCAATGAGAGTCTGAAATGTTCCTTGGAGTCCATCAAGTCTCGGAGTAGAGCATCCTCCACCAACATAGTGGAGCCAGCCACCGATACCTACGGCTCGACCGTGTCTCTGGACACTGGGTTGAACTCCGAGTTGGCGAAAAGCAAGGACCAGGGAGTTTTGGACTTGTCGCACAGGAGTTCCTTCAGAATGAAAAACTTCCTAAACTTCTCCGGTGAGAAAAAGCCCAAGGAGGAGGCAAGTAATCCAAGTGGGAGTCAGCCATCGCCTCTTGTCACCGGTGGGGAGAAGACCACCGCCACAGCTGCCGAGGTGACCTCGCCCAGTGCAGAGGAGAAACCTCAGAAATCTCCAACCCCGGCGGCGGGAGTCAAGGCCAGCCAGAGTTTCTCTGGTAGCCGGTTTGCCAGCAACGTGAAATACAGCAGCAACTTGCGTGATGACACCAAAGTCATCCTGGAGCAGATCTCTGCCCACAACCAGAGCCGAGGGGAGATGCACAGAGCCCTGCAGCCCGGGCACGGGGAACCGGCCAATTCCCTGAGTCCCCCTGTGGACCACCAACCCCTGAGCCCATCGGCCAAGTCACCCCCAGAGCCAACGAGCTCCAGCCCGGAGAGCCAACAGGAGACCAAAGGCCAGGTGGAGAGGGACATTCTCATCAAGAGGATGGACAGCATCCGCAAGGAGAAGAGAGTCTACAGCAGGTTCGAGGTCTTCTACAAGAAGGAGGACAAGACACAGTCCAGCTCGTCCACCCAGCAGCAGGACGGGGCCAGCCAGGCATCACTGGAAGCTGAGAAGAGAAAACATGCAAAGTTTATTCCCCGATTTTTCGGGAACCTAAAGCGTTTCTAAGGGTTGTGGACTCCATCCTGCCTCGCAGTGAGGTGGACTCCAGGGTGGATGTGTTGGATGTGGGAGCAGAGTGGGAGGTCACATCCCGCCCTGCTCGCTCACTGGACTTGAACACATTAAATAGACTCCGGAGAGACGGGATCATGAGCCCTACCAGGGAGGGCTGGGACCGGGACACTGGGATGATCGGCCAGGGAACGTCGGGAACCGAGACACCGGGATTACCGGCTGGGGAGCGTTGGGACTGGAACGCTGGGAGAGATCACTATGTGGAGATAATCCAAGTCCCGACATGGGACTTGAACCCGCAACTTTCTGACTCAGAGGCGAGAGAGATACCAATGAGCCAGGCTGACAGGAGATTCTGTCTTTCCAGATGATACGTTAAACGAGATCCCCTCTGCCTGCTCAGGCAGACATCAAAGATCCCACAGCATTATTGGGAAAGAGAAGGGAGTTTTTCTCCCTGTGTCTTGACCAATAATCCCCCAAATAAAATCAGTCACTCACTTCCATTCCCTGCTCCTTCCTCCATCATGTCTATTTAAATGGAGTTGAGATAAAGATCAGCCATGATCTAGTAGACAGACCGCCAGGAAGGTGGAAGGCAAACTAGATGGACTTTGGTCTTTTATTGTCTAGCATTTCTTATGTTCTTATGTAGGAGGCTTGAGGGGCTGAATAGCCTTCTCCTGTCCTATATTCGTAATCTGGTGCTCGCTTCATTCCTAGAGCTCTGTTTCCATTCCCTGCTATCTCCCCCGCCCCCCCCCGTCATGTCTTTGCTGATGCTCACTCCTCCACTGGAGCTCTCTGCTCTCATCTCATTCCCCTGCACTTGCACTTTCTCCATCGGGTTCTGTGTTGGTGCTCGCTCACTCTCCCAGGGAAGCTCTATTTCATTCCCATTAATTTGTAAGGGGGAATAGGACCTTGTTAAGGTTTGCTGGTCAGGAAGAGGTGATCTGTAACTTGTGAAGCACTTTGAGATGTTCTCCTGTGTGAAGGAGCTGTACAAATGCAAGTTGTATCCTTCCAGTGAGTGGCTGGACGATGGGAGCTCGGTAATAAAGGAATGGACAGTGAGCAGCTGAACTCTGTTTGGCTTCCAGTACACGTAGAGAATGATCTGAATTACACATTTTGTGCTGGCTCCACAAATGCACAGTAACACTTACACGCACACTCATTCTCTTTGTAAACCAATAGTTGATGTTAGGAGCTGTGGTCAGACCCCATCTGGAGTACTGCGTTCAATTTTGGGCACTGCACTTAGGAAAGATATATTGGCCCTGAAGGGGGTGCAGTGCAGATACACTAAAATGATGCCAGGGATAAAAGAGTTAAAATTATGAGGAAAGTTTGCACAACCTTGGTCTGTATTCCCCTGAGTTTAAAAGGTTGGGGGGGTGATCTGATTGAGGTATTTAAAATGATAAAGAGGTTCGATAGGGTAGAAACTAATTCCTCTGGTGGGAGAATCATTCCCCCAAAATGCTGTGGATGCTGGATCCATTCACGTTATCAAGACTCTGGTGGATAGATTGTTGTTAGGTCAGGGTATCAAGGGATAATAATATGGGGCAAAGGTAAGTATTTGGAGTTGAGGTACAGATCAGCCATGATCTAATAAAATGGTGCAACAGGCTCGAAGGGCTGAATGGCCTACTTCTGTTCCTACATTCCTAGGATCTCTTTTGTTCTCTCTGTATATCAATGGTCAGTACTAGGACCCCTCTTTCTCCATCTCGCTCTCTCCCTCTCTCATAGATCAAAATAATGCGTTTGGATGAAGAAGGGCCTTCAGCCCATCCAGGATGCTACCCCACGTGAAGGGCGCTATGTAAATGCAAGTTGGTGTATCTGATCTCAACCTTCCAGACTACCCACCCAACTCTCCTGGCCTCAACCACCCTTCCTTGGGAACCTGCTCCAATATATTGACAATCCTCTGAGTAAAGGAAAATTTCTTGGTATCTCCTGTTGAACAATAGCCCATTTGTATTTTGCATGATCATAAACTCCAGGCTATCCGCAGTGGGAATGTATCACAGTCACCACAGATGATCAGCTCTACAATACACTGTACAGCTTTGGCTATCATCTTGGATTCTTCAGCGTGTTGAAATTACTTTTTTTAAACACTTGTTCTTTAAGGAATGTTGTTAAAATATACTTTTAAATATCACTTTGTTCCCCCTACAAAAATCTATAATAATGATAATAATGCTTGCATTTGACATAGCGCCTTATCATTTGAGATGTCTCAAAGGTCTTCACAGAATATATTGACTGTGTATTTGTGAGCAAAACATGGCAGCCAATTGCACACTGCAGTGTCGGACAATCAGTTGTGGTTCAGTGACCAAATTTATTACCTCCATAAAGCAATCTGCCAATCTACTAACAACCTGGTTCCTACTTACTGCTAGGTAAACAGAGGCATGTGGACTAAGGAAACTTGCCTAATATTTTGCCCTGCCCAGCAATCAAATCTGGGTCTTCTTGCTTGTAAGGCGAGTATGCTAGCCACTACGCTACAGGACTCCACAAACCCAATTTTTGAATACTATTGTTTTCTAATTCTCTTCCCCCACTAGCGTATGCCTCTCTGCTTGAATGTGAGGACCAGGATTTTGAACTGTGTCCTCTGTGTGATGGGAAACCAATGGAGTTGGGCGAGGAAGGGTCACAGAGCCTGTTACGGGAGAGGACATGGGCTGCAGAGTTCTGGATGATTTGCAGCCTGTGGAGGGAGGAGTTGGGGAGGCCGACAAGCAGAGAGTTTGCATTGTCGAGCCTCGATGTAATGAAAGCGTGGATGAGGGTTTTGGCGGCCTGTGGTGTGAGACAGTGGCGGAGCCGGGCGATGTTGCGGAGGTGGGAGAAGGCAGAGCGGATCATGGCGCAGATGTGGGGTAGAAAGGATAGTTGAGGGTCAAACAAGATCCCAAGATACCGGACTGGCTTAGCAAGGTGGAGTGTGCATCCATGGATGGTGATGCTATCAGCGCCAGAGGTGAGGAGGTGCTGTCGGGAGCAAATCAGGAGAGTGTTGTTGACGTTCAACTGAAGAAAATTTTCTCTCATCCAGGATTCCACCCAACGGAGCAGGATTCCAAGGTGCTGTACCAAATGCAAGGATTATTAAGGTTAAAGATCTCCCTCCTGGTGTCCCAGATGAGAGCAGGATGTCGTGTGTGCAAATTGGCTGCTGGGTTTGCCTACAAAATAACAGTCACTCCACTTGATATTTAAAAAAAACCTGAAGGATTTTGAGAGGTTTGACGACGGGATAAAATGCAGGCTCAGTTGCTGGGATGATTGTTATTATACAGAAACAAAGGGAAAGGAAAAAGAAATGGGTAAAACGGATGGAAAAATTGGAACATAGTAACAGCAGTAGGCCATACAGCCCCTTGAGCCTGTTCCTCCATTGTATAAGACCATGGCTGATGTGTACCTCAACTCCATTTACCCACCTTTGCCCCATATTCCGATACCCTGACCTAACAAAAATGTATCTATCTCAGTCTTAAAAATTCAAATGGATCCAGCATCGATAGACTTCTGATTTTTGGGGCTTTAAGACCTAGGTAGAGCTTGCGATTCAGGGAGTCTGGTCTGTCGGAGGCTTTGCTGAGCAACTGGTTAATCGACAGTGAGGAGAGAACTCTGGTCTCCGGTGTATTTACAATGTGCACTGTAAACAGGAAGAAACCCATCCCATATGTTAGACAGAGAAGGTGTGCCTCAGAGGAGCCTGCCCTGAACACAGTGAGTATTAACATGATATGGGGAAGTGGAGGGGGAATAGGGGCAAGAGGCAGGGATAGTCTTCACTGTCCAGGGCATTTTTTTCTAAGATATAAAGTTAAACAGTCCCTAGGAATTCCTCAGCAGTAATTTCAATATTCCTCACCAGTAAATTGCCCTTCCATAATAATAATGGCGACTTCATCAGCAGTCACCAAGGCATCAGTTACTTTTAAACTGAATTTTAGGCAAATTTTGCAGAATATTATTTGACAAATAAAGACATATGATTATTATGTATTAGATTCATAGAATCTTACAGCACAGAAGGAGGCCATTCGGCCTAGTATGCCTGTACCAGCTCTTTGAAAGCTATCTAACTAGTCCCACTCCCCCGCTCTTTCCCCATTGCCCTGCAATTTTTCCTTTTCAAGTACTGTACTTATCCAATTCCCTTTTGAAAGCTATTATTGAATCTGTTTCAACCACCCTTTCAGGCAGTGCATTCCAGATCATAACAACTCACGTTGGGTAAAAACAATTTTCCTCGTCTCCCCTCTGGTTCTTTCACCAGTTATCTTACATTTGTGTTTTCTGGTTACACACGTATCTGTCAATGGAAACAGTTTCTCCTCATTTATTCCTTATTGATCAAACCCCTCAGAATATTGAACATCTCTATTAAATCTTGACTTAACCTTCTCTATTCCTGTTTTCATATTATTTCCTTACTCCACACGCCTGTTTACCTCGTAGTAAATGGGAACCCGGTTGTTAGTCGATTGGTGGATTGGTTTTCCGGGGGTAATAATCCCTCCAAAAAATAATAATAATTTGGTCATTCAATCCATTTGTGGGACACTGCTGTGCACAATTGGCTGTCACATTTCGCCTACAAAATATACAGTCAATTCACTCTACAGTATAGTTCCTTGAAGCACTTTGAGACGTTTCAATTATGTGATAAGGCACTAAATCAAAAGCAAGGATTATTATTATGTGAGGGAGTCAATCCGCTGGAGACAGTAGACAGTGGAGGCAGGTGAGGATTGGGGTGATGGGCATGTGGAGTGAGGTGCAACTGAGTTTACAGTCACCTCCTGCAGGCTAAGAGTGAAAGTGACTGAGCCACAGGCTTGAGAGTGAGAGTGACTGAGCCACAGGCTGAGATGTATACCTACTTTAATACTGTTGTTTTGGAGGCAGTTGCCCCCTAACCAGCTTGACGTAATCAGCCAGCATGATCAGCATACTGAGTATTGCTCAGCATACAGCAGATCTGGTGAACAATCTGCAGCACATGAAGAAAGTCCTGCCTTTAGTGAAGAATTTGGAGGCTATGGCCTCAGTAGCGGGAGTCTTGAGCCCTATATTTGGCATTGCCTCGGCCGTTGTCCAGCTCTCAATGAGGAACGTGGAGAGTGAGGAGCTGCTGTTTATGAAGGAGCAATTCCACGAGGTGAGAAACCAGCTGGATGTGGTGACGGGCAAGATCACTGGGCTCCTTTGCGAGATTGAGAAAAACACCAGTACTTCGCCATCAAGGAGAACATCAAGAACCAATTCCGCAAGTACATGCAGATCCTAGATTCGGCCCCAGAATACCAGGAGAGGCAGAAGGAAGAGTTCCTGACGCACTTCCAGGTCACTAAAGGCGACCAGAATTTGCACACCCTCTACGATGGGTTCGTGGGCAACTCCGCCGTCTTTGCCAAACCCATCCTGATCACTGCAGTGGAGTACGCCCAGGGGAACCGGCATTTGGTGGAAGCGCTCTGTGCCAGTCTCAAGGACCTGTTCGGCATCGGTCTGATTGCTCTGATGGGTTACACCTCCCTTACTGGCCTGGATTTGGAAGCGGCGATGAAGGAATGGAAGGAGAGGCTGGTTGAGGCTGAGATGGTGCGAAGGATTGATCAGTGTGACCAGGAATTTAGAGTTTAGGTAGAGGTCTGTATTAACCGCCACATAGCCAACAAAGGAAAACTAGATACGATCCTGTGAGGTGCCTCCATCCTGCGGGAGCTGAGGCCAAAGCATGATTGGCTGAGTTGGTCGGTGATTGTCTATGAACCTTTCAGTGGTGTTGAATCTCACAGTGTCACCAACGTTGTGAAATCCTTTCGATTTTTCAGAAGCATTGGTAATAATGCAATGATTCTACACGCAAGCCCACATTGGTCCAGTCACCTTATTCCCTCCCCACTCCCCTGCTCCCAGGAACCAGTACTTCTCTCAATGACCCTCCTCTCCCCCACAACGATCACCCCCCTGTCCACCAGAAACTTTCACCACACCCCTTCCCAACCACTCTCTTCCCCAGCTCCCGCGCCCCCTTTCCTCTTTCATGACCCGTTTCAAGACCCTCCTATTCAACCATGCTCATAGTTCTTCTCCCCCTGGCCTCCCCACTCCCTAACCCCGTGTCCGAAACACTGATTGTCCAGCGCCTTGGGACAACCTCCCGATGTGAAAGGCGCTATACAAATGTAATGTTGTTGTTGTAGTAAAGTTAACCACTTTATTGAAATCTGAAAAGACAACCTTATTTGGTTTGCCGGAATTTATATACTTTATTAGGTCAGGTTAACAGAGGAACCATAGTCACATGGATTTTATACTTAGTTTGTTTACTTAATAAGGCAGGAAAGTTGCATTAATTCAATAAGCATAATAAAAATATTAATTATCCTTGTATTTGATATAGCGTCTTATCATGTAGTTGAGACGTCTTAAAGAGCTTCACAGAAATATACTGTGAAGTGAATTGACTGTACATCTTGTGGGTGAGATGCAGCAACCGATTGCGCACAGCAGTGACCCACAAACAGTCATGGGATTGAGTGACCACATTCTTTTTTTGGTGGAGGGATTATTACCCTCTGCAAAGCAAAGGGAAATAAATACAGGGTCAACAGAGTAAGTGACCAAATTACAATAAGCAGGGTTACTACCAACAATATTGGCTGTTATGCTCACGTACAGCAATCTCACTCTAGTGACAATATCAAAGTTCAGAAGTTCACAAGCAGTAGGCTCAAATCTCAAAATATCTTGCTTTCTCGTTTCTCTGCCACTGAAACTATTGAGCATTCTTTGGATCTGGCACATTGATAATAATAATGATCCTTGCATTTGATATAGCACTTTTCACGTCTTCTAGACATCCCAAAGCGCTTCACAGAATATACTGTAAAGTGAATTGACTGTATATTTGTGGGCAAACGCGGCAGCCCATTGCGCACAGCAATGTCCCACAAACAGTCATGGATTGAAAATGACCAATTTATTATTGTTTTTGGTTTTGGAGGGATTATTATTAGGCTCTGTGTGGAGTAAGGAAACTTGCCCAAGGTTTCGCCCTCTGCCTGGAATTGAACTCGGGTCTCTCACTTGCAAAGCGAGTGCTCTAACCACTGAGCTACAGGACTCCACGCAATAATACCAAGCATTCATTTAAGGAATCAAAAGTCCTGGTCTCAAGCAGTTTTGTTTCAGCTGTATTCATGTATTGTTTCCACACCAGGCTCTGTGACCCTGACACCCATGCCTGGCTCCACTGGCTCTCCATCCCCCAGAAGATAGAGTTCAAAATCCTCGTCCTCTCTTTCAAAGCCCTCCATGGCCTTGCTCCTCCCGACCTGAGGGAGGAGTCCTGTAGCTCAGTGGTTAGAGCACTCGCTTTGCAAGCAAAATACCTGAGTTCAATCCCAGACAGAGGGCGAAACCTTGGGCAAGTTTCCTTACTCCACACAGAGCCTAATAATAATCCCTCCAAAACAAAACAATAATAAATTGGTCATTTTCAATCTACGACTGTTTGTGGGACACTGCTGTGCGCAATTGGCTGCTGCGTTCGCCCACAAATATACAGTCAATTCACTTTACAATGTCTTCTGTGAAGCGCTTTGGGACGTCGAGAAGACGTGAAAAGCGCTATATCAAATGTAAGGATTATTATTATTATTACCTGTGACCTGCTATCTCTACATAGACCTGTCCACTCAGCGGGCTCCAGCTTGCTCCATATCCCCCGCCCCGCCTGGCTCGATCCCAGCACCGGTGGTCGGGCCTTCAGCATCTGTGCCCACACCTTTGAAACTCCATCCCACAGTGCCTTTGCCTCACTCCCTCCCTTGCCTCTTTCGAGACCCATCTCAAGACCCTCGTCTGTGAGTGCAGCTTCGGTCATCCTCCCACCCCTACCCTCCCTCCCTGCCCTCCACCCCTCCTAATCCCAATCCCCAACTCGGGTCCAAATCCCTGATTGTCCCAACGTCTTGGCATATCCTCCCAACGTGAAAGGCTCTTTACATATGCCATTTGCTGATCTCTTTTACTTCTGATATTACTGAAATTGCTGTAACAATTGAGGTCGAGTGGCTTGAGTCACAGATCGAGGGAAACGAGAGATGCACTCACTCGCTCTCATCACCTCAGTCCGAACACCATGATGACCAATCCTGACTGACCAAAGTTTAGCTTAGCTCTACCTCTTATCATTGTCCCTTTGTAACACCAAGATAGATGGTCCGTGTGCATCTGCACGTCCTCACAAGTCCTCACCCACCTGACAGTGATTCACAGGCTGGTTTAAACAAGCCAGGACCGTCCTTGGGTATGGGAACCGTGAGCTGATTTTGATTAATACATTCCAGGATGTTACATCAACAATTAATGAGAGAGCTGCAGCTGTGATAAACTCACTTTTTACTTCTGAACCAATTTAACTCTTCAACCCACTGCATATTGTCATTTTCCCATAACAATTTATCTAACGTTATACCAACTGCCACATAACATACGTCACACTTGTACACAAACTCTACCGTTCAGCTGATTCTGATTAGGTTCCCTGATTAGACAGAGAGAACTGAACACTTACCATTTATATGAAGAGAAAAAGGGTTCCTAACAGATTATTGAAATATAGAGAGAAAATCCAGAACTCTCTCTCCCAAAAGGTTGTGGATGCTGGATCCATTAAAATTTGCAAGAATGGGCGGACTTTTGTTAGGTGAGGGTATCAAGGAATATGGGGCAAAGGCAGGTAATTGGAGTTGAGGTACAGATCAATCATGATCTAATAGAATGGTGGAACAGGCTCGAGGGCTGAATCTATGGAGAAAGGAAAATGAGTCAACGTTTTGGGTCCATGACCCTTCGTCAGAATGTAGACCTGAAATGTTGACTCACTCTCCTTTCTCCATAGATGCTGCCATGACATGCTGAGTGTTCCCAGCGACTTCTGTTTTTGTTTCAGATTTCCAGTATCTGCAGTACTTTGCGTTTCGAGGGCTGAATGTCCTACTCTTGTTCCTATGTAAGTCTAAACACTAATCAATGATATATAGAGAGAATAAGAGAGGTCTAAACAATGAGCATTAAATATGGAGAACAAGGGAGGTACAAACACTCACCATTGACATACAGAGAACAAAAGAGATCATAACACTGGCAATTGATATATAGATAAACTGAAAGAACCATAAGCTTTGCCTACATTGGGACCTTGCTGTCCAACCAATGTGATCTTGGCTCTTTCTCTGCGTGGTCCCTCAGGACAGTGTCCAAGCAAAAGTTGTTGTCCACCACAACCCCCAGGTACCAAAAAGAATCAACAATTGAGACGTTTTCTCTTGAGCCATGTAGAAGCACGATTCTGTACTTTGGGATACCCACCATCATGTCTCACCAGGTGGCCCATTGTTTAAGATGGCAGGTGTGGTGCAAAAGCTCTCCAGGTGAGTCCGTCAGCAGCACAATATCATCCACAAACAATAGCAACACAATCATGTCCAAGAAAAGCTTGGAATAGATATGCCAAGTCCATCTCCCTCAATGCTATCCAACAGGTCATTGATGAATACATCAAATAAGGTGGGTGATAATGGCCTTATCCCTCTTTCATGAGGGTTGGGTTCAATGAATCCACCATTGATTCTTGCACAGATTTTGAACCTGGAATGCACATTCCAGATAACAAACAAGATTTGACCATGGATTCCTATGGCTTCCATTTTCATTATGATGGCTTCTTGAGGCATAAGGGTTGAAAGCCTTGTGGAACTTGATGAACAAAATGCAGGTGGGTTTCCTCTTAGCCATATGACAACAACAACAACAACAAGATTCCATTTATTGAGCGCCTTTCACGTCGGGAGGACGTCCCAAGGCACTGTACAGTTGGGTCAGGACCTGAGCAGGGGGGAAATGGTGAGGGGAGGGAAGGGAGGGAGCGAGGAGGGGGTAGAGAGTCGAGAGGGGAGCTGAAGGCACGGTCAAAGAGAAAGGTCTTGAGATCGGCCTTGAAGGAGGAAAGGGAGGAGGCAAGGCGAAGGCACTGGGGGATAGAGTTCCAGAGCCTAGGGGCTGAGAGGCTGAAGGCCCGGCCACCAATAGTAGGACGGTTGGGGCGGGGGATGTGGAGCAGACCGGAGCCAGAGGAACGGAGGGTACGGGCAGGTAGGTAGGGGGATAGTAGGTTGGAGAGGTAGGAGGGAGCAAGGCCGTGAATGGCCTTGTAGGTGAGGGTGAGAATCTTGAATTCGATCCTCTGGGGGATGGGGAGCCAGTGGAGGCGAGCGAGGGTGGGAGTGATGTGGTCCCGAAGCCTGGTGCGGGACAGTACACAAGCTGCAGAGTTCTGAATGACCTGCAGCTTGTGGAGGGAGGTGCCGGGAAGGCCGGCGAGGAGAGAGTTCCCATAGTCCAGCCTTGAGGTGATAAAGGCAGATAAAGACATTCTGTGATCTCATACAAAGCCTATCCCTCACATTCCTCATGAACAGGGAAGCCAGCCTACTCCACAAGGAGCCAACAATGTGTGCATACGAAGCAACAACAACAAAATTACATTTGTATAGCACCTTTCACATCAGGAGTATGTCCCAAGGTGCTGGACAGACAGAGTTTTGGACCCGAGCTGGGGGTCGAGCAAAGTGGAGGGCAGGGGAGAAGCAGGGAGATCGAAAGCACTGTCGAAGGAGGATTTTGATATGGGTCTTGAAGGAGGCAAGGGAAGGAGCGAGGCAAAGAGACTGTGGAATGGAGTTCCAGAGGGTGGGGGCAGAGTGTCAAGAGGCCCGCCCGCCAATAGTGGGCCGAGTGAGGCGGGGGGTGTGAAGCAGGCCAGAGACTGCTGAGCGGAGGGAGCAAGCAGGATAGTAGGGGTTTGGGAGGTCGCAGAAATAGGTGGGATCAAGACCATGAAGGGCTTTGACGGTGAGGACCAAGATCTTGAACTGTATCCTCTGTTGATGGGAAGGCAATGGAGTCAGGCACGGATGGGGTTGATAAGGTCATGGAGCCAGGTGCGGGAGAGGACATGGGCAGCAGAGTTGATGAACTGCAGCCTATGGAGGGAGGATTTAGGGAGGCCGACAAGCAATGAGTTTGTATAGTTGAGCCTTGATGTAATGAAGGCATGTATGAGGGTTTCAGCGGCCTGCGGTGTGAGACAGAAGCAGAGCCGAGCGATGTTGCGGAGGTGGGGGAAGGCAGAGCGGGTCATGGCGCAGATGTGGGGTAGAAAGGATAGTTGAGGGTCAAACAAGATGCCAAGTTTCCAGACTGGCTTAGCAAGGTGGAATAGGCAACCATGGATGCTGATGCTGTCAGTGCCTGAGGTGAGGAGGTACAATGCCTTAAGCTGAGGTGCAATGCCTTAAGTGCCACTTAAATCACAGT